TCTTGCACCCAAAGCAAGGATTGTGTCCTTCAACATGTTGCAGGTAAGATATTGTCACAGTTAGAGACCGGGAAGGAATTAGAGCTAAGAGCAATGTATCACTTTATTTGTTGTCATTGCAAAGATAAATTACTGAGGTGCTTGACCATTAGGAAAAGACACATTGTGTTGGCGTTACTGATACGATTCCACCCATACCTAGCTGCCTAGTTGGCTCCATGAATGAGTGAAGGGGGTGCATGTATATCTTTGAATGTCGACTGTTGCTGGTTCATCAGTGATCATAACCATGTCGCTTTCTCATTGCATCTTCTAAAGCATTGCACAAGGCCGTTGAGAAAACTTCCATTGACTTTTCCATCAGTCCTTTATGGAGCCGACTCTTTAGGATATGGATTTATCATTTACTATTGGGCAATACCCCTATAGGCCTGCAGTGAAAAATTGAGGAAATCCATCTACTTATTCCAGCTTAGCAAGACTGATTGTGTATGCAAAACACAAACTGAAAGCAGAGGAGGGGGAGGAGGAGGAGGAGGGGAAGGAACAGGGGTCAACAACAGGTGTGCCCACCAGTACCTCTTATGTGGCCTGCCTTAGGTGTCAATAAATATCCCCTCAGAAATCCATATTGCATGAGAGGCTGCTTGTTATTCCTGTTTAGTTCCTGTTTGCGGTGGTCCATCATTTCCTACACTAAATGTCACCCTCAAACATGCCCACATTTAATTTGTTGTCAGGACTGGACACCCACACTCCCATCTGTTCTGAGTGGAGAGGTGAAAAGAGCTTCTCTCTGAAAGTGAGTGCAAAAGTATAGGTGCCTTTCCGTCACATTTTGTGATTCCATCTCTCTTCCTGCTCTTTCAGATGTGGCAACCAGCGCCAGATTTATGTATAAGCTAAACAAGCTATAGCTTAGGGCCCCACTCTCTTGGGGGCCCCAAAAAAATTAAAGGGAAGAAACTGGACGGACATTTCCAAAATATAAGATAAAAAACAAATAAAATAAAACCCACATACAGTTAGAGCTTAATAATTATTTCACTATTAATATACTTCTTCTTAATTGTATTTCAGTTCAACAATTACTTTGATAAAATCCATATTTTGTTATGTGCAAATGGCTTTAGATACCTACTAGGTCCATAAATTACCATATAGCATATATTCAACACAAAAAAACAGCCACAATTTGTTGTTGACAAAGGGCAGCTGGACATATAAAGGGCCCTATCACCTTCAGTAGCTTAGGGCCTCATCAAACCTAAATCCAGCCCTAGTGGCAGCCATTTTGTATTGTGCCATGCCCCCAAGGCAGCCATTTTGTGGCTGGTGCCCACGGCACTTCCTCAACAATCACAGGTGTGCCCACTGATTCAATAAAGGTTGGTGCCCCTCACTTTGCCGAGCCATAAGAATGGTTCCTCTAGAGCAGTACAATAAATCCAGATTGGTGTAAGCTTTCAAGAATCTCAGGCAGAGTCTTTGTGAGCCCCAGCTGCTTCCTCCTCCTCTCCTCCCTCTAAACAAAAATAAGTTAATGGAACAGAGTAATGTTGTCCTTGGTTAATGTTTTATTTCAAAATGTTACGTGAGCTTCCTTATACCAAGTCAGATCACAGGTCGATCTTGCTCAGTATGGCCTACTCTGACCAGAGCATTCCCAGTCGTACCTGCATATACCAGGGATTGAACCTGTCACCTTCTGTACAATAACATAAGAAGAGACTGCTGGATCAGGCCAGCGGCCCATCTAGTCCAGCGGCCAATCATATGCCACGGGAAAGCATGCAAGAAGGATCTGAGCACTATATGCAACAACAGCGGCAAGAGTATCTTTGGCTCAGAAATAGAAGCAAGAAGAAATACAGAAGAAAGAAGAATGGCAGATAAAATTAATGGACTATGCAGAATTGGATAAAATGACAGGAAGGATTCGAAACCTGCGGGACCAGAGATTCACAGAGGATTGGAAGAAATATACGAATTATTTGAAGAGCAACTGTAATCAACAAATTACGCTAGTAGTACAAGAAGTTTTGTAAGGAGAAATATATGAAATATTGCAAAGAAGAGAAAGAAAAGAGATATTAGTTATGAGATTTAAAAGCAATAGTGAAAATAAGAAATGTAAATTAAGTGAATAGATTGGAAAATTTTCAGATGTGATTGATGGAAGTCAAAAAATTGTATAAGATGTAAAAGTATGTTTAATTATTGTTGAAAATGATATGTTGAAAAACTAATAAAAATTTATATATATATATAAAAGAAGGAACTGAGAACAACAACACTCTTCTCTCCAGAACTTCCCAGCCACCAGCATTCAGAAACATACTGCCTCTGATAATAGAGGTAGAACACATTCATCAGGGTTAGTAGTTTAGCCACTGAGAGCCTTATCCTCCAATGCATGTGTTCCTCCACTGAGCCATGTTGACAAAAACAGTCCAAGCTCTCATATTTGATTTTCAGATCAAAGGTGAAGTGCTAGTCTAAAAGCACAGCAGAGGCAAGGAGTGGTACGATCTGTCAAGGCAAGGTGTGCTAGCTCAGGACAGTGTGTGTCTTTGTAGTTGAAGACTCCAGCCCAAATCAAGGAGCAGAATTTAGACACAAGCAGAGCTTGAGGAGGGAAACAGAGCTAGGTGAGAATTAAGAAGGACAGTGAGTGGGACCGTTGTGGTGCTCTGTGATTGTCCAGGCACTGTATCAATATGGTGTTTCAAGAACCGCTAAACTGCATTACCACTAAAATGAAGATTGGTATGTGCGCAAACATGGAAAAATAGAATTGAGGCAAACCCCTGATTTCACTCTATGAACTTGGATATCATGTATGAAACCGAATTTTCAAAGTGATTGGACTCAACTGTCTTCCTTTGAGACCTGGCAAAGGAATCGCCACAAAAATTGGAGTCCAATTTTTGCAAGTTGGTCTTTTCAAATTTTGTGCTTATTTGAGTTGCTGAATCTTGCAGGCATCCAGTTGGAACTGGGGTGAGTAAAGAGTTTTATGCATCAGAGCTTGCAGTTCACTGTTCTGCCAGTGTATATATGTGGCAGCATAGAGTTAAGTTTTCAAATCTGGTGCTAGAATATCCCATCCCAGCCTGACAACCTAAAGCAAGGAAGATCCAGCTGTGAGAGTGGCTAGCCTGACTTAACATACAGGCATACACACCCCACTGGAAGTGGCAAGGTTGATTTATTTCTGCTTTGGAGTTATTTTGCTGGAAGAAAGTTGTTTGGGCTTTATGGGGGACAAAACATTTTGAAGACTCACAATGGCAGAGGAGAGACCAGAAGATGCAGCCAAAGGGGTAGTCCTAAGGCAGGATCCTTTGCACATCAAGAGCTGACAAGCCATTAGCTTGGTTTTTAAATGAGGCATATTCATAGGTGATAGGCCATGCTAGTCCAATAGAACTGCCACATTCAGAGGCAATATACTTCTCGAAGTACCAGATTTTGGAGGCAGGAGACAGAAGATGACTGGTGCCTTCATGTCTTTCTTGTCAGAGGTACTCAAAGGTACCTGTCTGACTGGTCATAAGGGTGAACTAGGTAGACTTTGGAGACACAGGTAGTGCTGTGAGTTAAACCACAGAGCCTAGGACTTGCCGATCACAAGGTTGGCGGTTCGAACCCCCGCGACGGGGTGAGCTCCCGTTCCTCAGTCCCTGCTCCTGCCAACCTAGCAGTTCGAAAGCATGTCAAAGTGCAAGTAGATAAATAGGCGGGAAGGTAAACGATGTTTCCGTGCACTGCTCTGGTTCGCCAGAAGCGGCTTAGTCATGCTGGCCACACGACCCGGAAGCTGTACACCGGCTCCCTCGGCTAATAAAGTGAGATGAGCGCCACAACCCCAGAGTCGGTCATGACTGGACCTAATGGTCAGGGGTCCCTTTACCTTTAGGTAGACTTTACAGCAGAGCTCTTCTTATTCTCATCTCTCACTTGGCTTTCTACTGATTCTCCTGGCAGAAGACACAAGAGAAGGTGGTTCCATCTATAACATTAATCCATTGAGTTGCAGGGAAACCTCTCTCTCTCTCTCTCTCACACACACACACACACAAATACAAATGCTGTCTGAGCACGTGCTGGAACATTCAACATCCCTGTGTAAAGGAAGGTCCACTTGCGTCTTCATCTTTTCTTTCTGTAAATAAAGTTGCATGTTTGCCTTGATCCATACATAAATACAACAGGGCTGTGTGTGTCTGTGTGTGTAACGGGAGGGTGCGTGCCTGCGTGCCTCTTGTGGAAACCCATAGCCGGTCTGAAGGCGGGGAATATTGCGGGGGGGGGGTTGCCTCCTCAGTTCCTATCCTCTGCTACCCACCGACCGCTAGGCAAAGCTCCACGAGGTTTCCATTTTCTGGGGGTGGGGTGGGGGAACCTGCAGCAGCAGGACACATCTCTATATACAGGATCCCTGCTGTGGAAAAGGCTCGGGGAGGGGGCGTGTTAGAAAGCACGATCACGTCACCGGCTTTGAAGAGAAGATCAGAATTTGGTGCAAAAAAGAGAAAGGGAAAAAAAAGGAACAAAGGGGCTGTTTTGGATCCAATCTATAAATTGCATTTCGTTCTACCCTGCGTTCCCCTGCTCCCAAATCCCCCCCCCCAAGATGAAGCGCGGACCTGTCTCTCCCCTTTTGCTCCAGCCTGGCTGTGATGGAGAGATGGAGGCTGCCGTGGAAAGAGGGAGGGAGGGAAAGGAAGGAGGGAGCGGCTACTGTCCACGATGCTGCAGAGAGGACGGCTCCTCCCTCCTCTTGCAGACAGACAGCAACCAGGCGGTCACGTGGGCCCCCGCCAGCCCTCCTTTTCGCTTGCCTCTCCTCCCCGGTTCTGCGAGATAGAGAGAAGCCGGAGCCTGACGCTGCTGAAAAGGCAACGGACGGCACTTTTTTTTTAAGACCCCCCCCCTTTCTACCCCCTGCTTCGTCTCTTTCTCTCTCTCCCCCCCCCACCCCCGCCGATCCTGCCTTATTCAGGGGAGGGAGAGGAGGGAAGGGAGGAAGAAGAGGAGAAGGAAAGGGAGAGAGAGAGAGAGAAAAGGAACCTAAGGGAAATTCTCTTTGGCCAACACATGCCTCGAGAGCCGTCCTTGCGAGCGGAAAGGAACAGCCGTGCAGGTAAATAGCTGGCTTGGGGAGGGGACAGGTGGCGGCGGCGGCGGAGGAGATCGGGGAGGCTGCGGGCGTTAAGGACCCGGGTTAGGGACGCTCTGGTCCGTCGAGGAGGCAGGAGAAGGCGCGAGAAGGCGCTCCGGCTTGGCGTGCGGCGTTTTCCTCAATTTTTTTTTTTGGGGGGGGAAGGAAGAGGTAGACGATCTCGGCGCGATGGTGGCTGGTTAGGAAGTTGAAAGGCTGCCGGTGGTGATTTATTCGCGATCGGGGGTGGGGGGGGGGAGAGAGAAAGGGAGGGAGGGGAGGCAGGTCTCGCTGGCGTTTTGGAGACTCGCGGATGGGGGGGGGAGAGGGGAGGGTGGGAATGGATCCTCTTCTTGCATGTCTCTCTCCTTACCCCCCCTCCTCCCCCAGCCACCTTCCTTCCTCCCAGCACACCTTCGTTGGAAGGAGATGGGGCAATGGGAATAAGGAGCGTTTCGGGGAGCGGGTGGGAAGCTGGCAAGGTGGTTTGACGAAAGGTTGGCATTTTGGGACGTTTTTGATGGAGATCCGTTCGAGAGAGCTTGGGGGGGGGTGTTCTCCCTATCGCCTCCCCTTTGCCTAGCTAATGGGTTAGAAGAAACTGCTCTTAGCCTTGTTGGTGCCTTATTTTGGATTTTATCCGTATGTATATATCTATATATGTATCTGCAGCCTTCCTTGGTAGAGGAAAAAAGGAAAATAATCCCGTGTTTCCCCCCCCCTTAGTAGCCAAAGAAAGGATTCGATGCTAGGAAATAAGTAGGTAGGGATATACGAAAATGGGGGAGGGGGCGCTAAGTAACCATAAATAAATACAAATAATGGTGGTGTTAAGGATTTCGCTTTTGAACTAAAGCGCTTCTCTCTTTGGCTGCAGCAAAGGTTGTTTTTGTGTCCCCCCAACACCTCCACCCCGAGCTCCCCGTTTATTTTATTTATTTGAGTCTACCATTCGTGTGTTCTCCAGGTCTTTCCCGCACCCGGAGAAAATCCTATGGACACTTATAACAGCAGGACGCTGCCAAGACTGTATGTGCCAAAATGACCTGCTATTTATTAAGGATTTATTGTCATATCAGTCTCCCTTGCTTTAAGTCTCCTTCCCTTCTTCACCCCCCCCCCGCTCCTCCGCCCTTGTTTTAATAGCTCAGTTGGGGCACCTGTGACCAAAACGTGATTTTAATTTTTGAAAACCCCGATCAGGTATTTTTTTTTTCCTTTAGAGAAGAGGGCGTTGCATTTATTGATGAGCGGTGCAACACTGTATCCCCACCTTATTAAATGGAGGGGGGAAAGGACAAAAAGGTTTTAATCTCTCTCTCTCTTTCTTTATATATTTAAAAGGTCTGAGAGCCCACTTTAAAAGCATGCCTGTTAAATCAGCAGTCCATCTTCCATTATATATATCTGCTTCACTTGTTTTGCAAATGACTAGACAGTCGGTGCTGTTTATCATTGTATCAGCCATAATAAATAAGCAAGTGGCTATTTATTTATTTTTTATTTGCTGCTGTTTTGGCATTATATATATATATATATATATATATGCATGCATGAGGAGGGGGGCAGCACAGAGAGCGTGGGGTGAGAGGGGGAGAGAGGGAGAGAAGAAGGAAAGGGGCTGGCCATCAATTTCATCTAAGAAGGATGTTGAAGAGGGATCTCCTTAGCTCAATGTCTCTCTCCTGCTGACACTTGTAGGGACCACTCTGCTATTCACTCCTGGCTCTTAGGTGCATTTTGTGTGTTCAGACAAGCACATACAGCCTTGTCCAGTCTTCCTGCCCAGCAACGCAGCTGGTCACTTTTCCCTCCCCACTGGCACAGCTTCTACCCTTCCCGTATGTGTGGTCAATCCAGCAATAGCCTTTCCCCTTCAGATGGACAGACATGATTCCCCCCCCCCAAAAAATACTAATATTAACCACATAACCTCACAACCACAGACCAGAGGAGACTCCTTTCTGAGAGCATTTTAACTCTTAAATCATACAGAGAATTACCTATCCGTAGCTACAGCTCGCCCATCTCTCGTCCCCTTTTGGATTTGCACCTTCACCACCCCTGCCGTTCTCTAAAGATTATATGAAATGCAGACAAGAAACAAAAACTCTCCTCCAAGCCACAGACTGGATGGCTGTGGCTCCAGGAACTTTTGGAAAACATAATATCTCTGGGAGATTTCCATTCCCTCTCTATGCATACCGTATATGCCATTGGGCGCACAGATGATCAACTTCTCACAGTGGCCTCAGCAACAGCCCCCCACACACTTTACACACATAGTTGCTCTCTTCAGGTGTTCACCTTTCATCTCCAAACCTGTAGACACAGAAATGCAAATCCACAAGCACACACACACACACACACACACACACTTTACTCATTACTTGCAGCAAATGCATTTCAGTCTAGTAAGGCACAGGGAGACCCCCCCCCCAAAAAAAATCCCCTTCTGTCTCTTACACTTGCAGTAACCCCTTGTGTTCACCCATCTCAACGGCGGCTGCAATAAGTTGCACATTTAATGACGACATGCCGTCGCCGTGTGTACACCATTCCTCTCTCACATGCACTTTATCACCTCTGCAGTTTACCCACCCAACAACACAACACACTTTCCACATACTCCTTGGGGGTGCTCATTCTCCCCCCCCCCATGCCAGTTCCTGCTCACTCATGCCTCGCCATCATGACACCTCATGTCGTAGATATGATCACACCCTCGGTTGCCTCCTCTCGTTTATTTTTTATTTTTTTGCACAGTCAACTCCTTATCCAAACGCCTCTTATGATGCTCACTGCTGTGGATGGAAGGCCCTCTCTCTCTCCCCCATACAGAGCCTCTTTTCACTAATGGGAGTGAGGCAGACAATCAGTTCCTTCCGCAGTTCTTTGTAACACCCGAAATCGATGCATTCTCTCCCCTTTGCTTACTCTGCCACACAAAACCCCCACAGCCTTTCCATGCGATTCTTTCTCTCTCTCCCCCTGGCACACACCTGCATCTGTACAAATGAACCCCTTCCTGCAGCTTTGCTCTGCAATTCTGTTTTCCCCCCACCTCCCATCGCAACCGTGAAACATTGGGTCAAGTAAAAAAATCCCTCCAGCTCGTACACAGGTTATCCTCCTTCAAATTCATTAGCTCTCATTCAAGAAGCTATTTCCTGTAATTAATGAATTATCCCCCCCCCCGCATCCCAACACAGATACATATTCATTTCCTGGCCCCCCTTTCCTTTAGCATTTTTCACTGAGCACACCCACATTTCCAGGAAGGGTTTACAGGCAGAGCGCACGGCTTGCATGCGGGTTTTCATTCTTGGCGTCTCCGATTCCAAGGATCTCTGGTTAGCTGGGCCCATTGAGAACTCCTGCCGGTCAGAGGATGGGCCCTACCTAACACGTAAAAGACCTGAGCCCCTTTTATTTTGCAAGGGCGGCCACAGCTCAGGGGCAGAGCGCATGCTTTGCATGCATAAAAAACAACAACACCCAGGCTCGGCGTGTGTCGCATCCAGCGCACACCCACACTCTTGGGGAGCGAGCCAGAGCGCACATGTGTGCGCGTGTGTTTTGCGCGCGGAAGGTCTCCGCTTGCGGGTCGGCGCCTTGCAGTTAAAAAGCGTCTCGTGAAGCAGAGCTGAGAAAGCGAGGCGCGGGACCTTGGAGAGCTCCGGCCAATCAGAGGCACCAGCAGCGCGCGGAGCCAGATGCTTTCTGTTCTGGCGATTCTCCTTCATTCCCCCAGACCTGCTGGACGAGGAACCCCGTCCACCCTCTCGCATCACGCATCCTTTTCCCCCGGCCGCAGGCTCGAGAGATCCCCACCCCTTTCCCCGGGATACTTTCGGCCAAAGGCAGGCGCGCGCCACCGCTCTCCAAAACACACACACACCGCGAAGCGCACGGAGACGCACGACGCTTCCTTTCCCCTCCTTCCTTCTCTTTTCCCGGGGGAAGGCGGGTGCGCCGCCGGCGCCTGGGCTGTGCAGAGCCAAGGGGAGCCGGGCTCCTTTCCCGCACCTGCCTTCAGCCAAGGCGCCGAGATTGCCAAGGCACCGGCGGCCTCCGAGCCTGGCGCGCGCGCTGCCGGGCAAGAGGAAGGCGGAGCGAGGCGGGGCGGAGCTGCTTGCTGCCTCCGCCGCTGCTGCGTGTGGGAGCGCCAGAAGGAGGCTGAGGGAGGACGAAGGCGGCAGCGGACGCTCAATGCGGTGCCATAAATTGTGGCGCCTCCTTCCCAGCCAGCCCTCCGGACAGCGGGGAGAGACACCTGGCTGGCCGGGGCAGCTGGCGGCGCTTGCCGCCTCAGAGCCTCTCTCCAGGTGGGGATGGGCCTGCTGGCTGCGTCTTCCGTCGAAGTCTCGGCGGGGTTGGCTCTTGCCTCAGGAGGTGAAGAGAGGCTTTTGCTACTGCTGTTCTGGCCGGGCTCGGCTATCGCCGAAAGGGTTCAAATAAACGCGCACAAGGCCGTCTGCGCCTGCGTGGAAAAAGACCCTCCGTCTCGGGCCCAAGAAATTTCTCTCAAGTTGAGCAGCGCTGACCAAACCACAACCACCCCCAACACGCGCTGGAAACACAACAACCCACAACCGTTAAAGCGCTTCCTCTTTCCTTATTTATGAGGGACAGTCCATATTATCACAGAGTAGACCCAAGACAATTTGCCGCCTGAGGCATATGGCACGGTGGTCCCCCTCTTTCTCCATAAAGCAGCTGGCTGGACCGGCACTTGGATGTTACTAAGAAGCTGATGACTGTGAGGGCTCACAACACCTGAGGGCTGTGGGTTGCAGGTGAGGTGGAGGCAGGTGGTGTGGTACAAACAGCCCTGTCAGCCCCACAAAAGGGGAGCGGAGGCAGTGGATAATAGAAGGGAAAAGGGGAGCTTTATTTATTTCTAAATGAATAGTGGTGGGGTCAAGCACCTCCCATAAATTGCAGTATCCCCTACCCCCAATGGTAGGGCCGGCCCTGCATCCTAGCATTTTGCTAGCATGAGGTACTCATGTTTGCATTCTTCAGAGTTCCGCCTACCTCTACGCACACTCCAGACCCAGTATCAAAAGTGGACTGTGCAATGATGCACCTCTTCTCTAGTTCACGTGCATATAATTATTATTTATAATTATTAATGAGCACTGATAGTAAGCATGCAGTGGGCAGCCTGTCATTTTGCCCATGGTTGCATTGTCAGGCACCACATTTTGGGTCTCGTTCAGTGGAGGATAGGCTAAAGCAGACTGTAGCTGATAGCAAGGAGCCTTTGACAGATGGGCAATGGTGGAGCAATGACCAGGGTCACCGAGTTAGAATTGGGATGTTAGAAGCATGCTCCTGTTTTCACCTGTGAAATGTTGGAAGGTATGGCCATATTTAGTGGGTTCCTGAATGCATTTGGGAACAACACCCTAAATGCATTCTAATTTAATTGAACAGTTGCATTTCTACCACACAGCTTCACCTCCTCATGCACTGCCCACATCCCTTCATAAAGGAATACCTTATTGAGAGGGGCATTTCAGTCCCAACAAAGACACTTCTTTCCCTCTCCTCATATAGAGCTCACTCCAAGCAATTATAAAATGAAGCCCTATTCTTGATTTGTGTAACTGTTACCAAGTGATCCCATTTACTCATACAGGGAGATATAAACTGATCCATAGCTCAGTGATAAAGAACATTATTTTCATGGAGAAAGTTCCAGATTCATTCAGTCTCCCATTAGGATGAGGAAAAGGTAATCTGAAACACTGGAAAGTGAGTTTCAGTCAGTGGTACAATACTCACTTTACAATGGTCTGACCTTGTGAAAACCACATTATTATGTTCTTAAACATGTTCTTCGGATGAAGGGCAGTATATAAATTTAATAAATAATAATAATAATAATAATAATAATAATTACAAATGTGCCAAGACTTACATAGTGCTACTGCTATCCGTTTACTCTTCTGTTCCTTTGAAATTGAAAAGTATTAAAATGTGCAAAGCAAAAATTGAAAAGCAAAAATTAAAAACAAACAGAAACATGTCCTGAGAAATTACAGAATATTGGCTCCCTACATCTTGAACTTAGACAAGGCATTAAAATGCATCAAGCACCTTGGCAACTGATTGAAATTATTTATTTACTAAAGCACTGCACTGTTCATTCCAACGTTTTCTGAAATACAGTACAAAACTGTACCAACAATTGCAAGATACTGCTTCCTATCAATCACTGCACAATATCAAGCTATTCCCCTTCTCCTCAGCTCCCCACCTGATTGGCACAACATTGGAATGCTCCTGGTTACTGTGCAATAGAATGCAAATTAGGGATGGCAGTGGGTGAAATTTGCTGAAGGCACATCAAGAAAGAAAATGACATTTGATAGTCTAGGGAAGGTTGTGCTCTGGTGTTACTTCTACTTTGAGACTTTTTTTGAGGGGGGGGGGTGTTGCTATTGCATGTGCCTGAGTTCTGCTGGTTGACAGCTCGTGCTGTTAAAGTGGGACACAGATTTACGATAGAAAAGCTATCAGTAAATATGTATTATCCATTAAGTTAAATATACAACTGGGAGAGTTCAAGGCAGTGGTGGGGGAGATGTATTTCTTAAAACATGCAAACTGCTTTAGCCACACCACACAAAAACACTCGCACGCACACACAAGTTAATTCCAATATGAGAAGATATATACAGTGGTACCTCGGGTTAAGTACTTAATTCATTCCGGAGGTCCGTTCTTAACCTGAAACTGTTCTTAACCTGAAGCACCACTTTAGCTAATGGGGCCTCCTGCTGCTGCGCTGCCGCTGCACGATTTCTTTTCTCATCCTGAAGCAAATTTCTTAACCCGAGGTACTATTTCTGGGTTAGCGGAGTCTGTAACCTGAAGCGTGTGTAACCTGAAGCGTATTTAACCTGAGGTACCACTGTATAGAGGCTTATGTAAACAGGGGTCTGGCCTTATCCTAAAGCAGAGGTAGCCAATGTGTTCCCCTTCAGGTGTTCCTGGACCACAATTCCCATCAGCCTCAGCCATCGTGACAAATAGCCAGGGATATTGAGAGCTGGGGTCTAGAAGGCGCCACTGTTGGCTATCCCTGGTCCTAAAAGAGTAATAGCAGAGGATGGATGAACTGTGATCTGTATGATACAGCAATCTAGCTGTATCATACAGCTTCTCCCCCCTTTGCAATAATGTAAAATTTCAAGAGCTAAAAGATTCCAAGAAATATTATAGACATAACAAACAGAATCCTACTTCTAGCAAGGAATGCGACAACTATAGCAATTCACCTTCTGTTCGGCCTTGTTGTGATCTTGTCCCATTTTCATGAATTTAAGAACACTGGGGGGAAATACGCAGGTTCACAGCATGCAATAACATCACTGAATGGAGGATAGTAGGCGCAGGTTTATTTCTGTAATGAATTATGTTTGAAGGTGCCCAAATGGCAGTAAACATAAGTAACACATTTAAATGCCCCTTTCTGCCATAACAAGCTCTGTACATGAAAGAGGCTTTTCCAATGATTTTTTCCAGTCCAAAAAATTACTGCTGCAAACAGACTTGGGCATTTAAAACAGTGACTAATGGAATTAACTTGAATGGAATTCATCACAAGAAACTCCCCCCGCCCCCCCCCCCCCAGCATAAGGCATAAAGCATGACGCTTTAGCTTTATTGCAGCAAGGGAGCCTGCGCTTGCCTCTGGTCACATTTAAATCTGTGGTTACCCTCGCCCTTTTTACGGGCTCGTTTTACTTTTCATTCGTGGTTTTGAAACGTACTTGTCTTTTGTTTTATATCTTCACAGATGGTTTTTCTATTTTGAAAAGAGCACAGCGCAACCCCCCCCAACGATCAAACACCAGGATCTTCATAGTTTGGGCCTTGCTCAAGGAAAAGGAAACCCCCCCAAAACAATACAGGAGCTGTGAAGCTTTGCATTTCAAGTAGCTCCTGAGCTCCATGACAGTGTCTGGATTTCAGCTCCATTGGGAATCTCCTCCTGATCTGTTGCATGGCGAGCAGACCATGATCTGATGAGAGGATCAGCCTTGGGAAGACTGGATTGTAATCCGGCAATTGCTTGCAGTGAAAGGTGAGGGAGAATCCTGGGGAACTACAGCTATCAGGTACCATGACTTCGACGTGCGCTTGGATACCGATTCCTCCATGTGTGCTGGGATATTGATCGAGTCTCAGTGGGCCTGTGGATCTTTGGAGAAGGTTTTCTGGGTGGCTTGTTGGCCTTCTCCTCCCTGAACATCGCCCCATCTTCTTTCCAACTTGGTGACATGGGTGTTTGATGGTAAACATTTCTGCTGACTCATCCATCCTTAGACATCTCCTTCGAAAGCCAAGCAGATGACCGAATAGCATCTACCAGTGCCTTTTATTTCTACCGTCATTTTTTTACAGCCCCGTCAAAGTTGCGCATTTGCTTGTGCTTGAAAATATTCTCTTTCATTCATTTTGCTTTTTGCTTTTGCTTTTTCTTCTTCTTCTTTTTTTGAAGGGAGAAGGGATTTACATATTGGGTGCGCCTCCCCTGAGCCTCTCCTACTGGGAGAGGCCACTCCACTATTCCTCCCCAGAACATTAGGAAAGCAAGAGTTAACTTATCTAGTGTGAGGGGTTCCTGGAAAGATTTTACCCTGTCTGCTTCAACCCCCCCACCACCACTCCCCCCTCCTCTCCCCCCTCTCCCCCACCCCACCCCACGAAGAATGGGGCCTGTGCTCCTCAGGCGTGGAGGTTGCCTCCTATTATGGATGGCCCTCCTCCTGGGATGTTGGGCCGAGCTTGGCAGCAGCCTGGAATTCCCAGGAGCAGAGGGCCAGTGGACTCGTTTCCCTAAATGGAATGCCTGCTGCGAGAGTGAAATGAGCTTCAACATGAAGACCCGCAGTTCCAGTGGCCTGGTCCTTTACTTCGACGACGAGGGCTTCTGTGACTTCTTGGAGTTAATCCTGACGCAAGGCGGGAGGCTCCAGCTCAGCTTCTCCATCTTCTGTGCCGAACCCGCCATCTTGCTCTCCGACATGGCTGTTAACGACAACCTGTGGCACACAGTGGTTGTCCGCCGCAATTTTAAGAACACGACGCTACTAATTGACCAGACTGAGGCTAAGTGGGTGGAAGTGAAGTCCAAGCGACGGGACATGACTGTCTTCAGCGGCCTCTTTCTCGGAGGGTTGCCTCCTGAGCTGCGTTCAGCTACTCTAAAAGTAACACTCTCCTCGGTGAAGGACCGGGAGCCCTTCAAGGGATGGATAACAGATGTAAGGGTCAACTACACACAGTCTTCGCCTGTGGAGAGTCAAGAAGTGCGGCTGGATGACGAACAGAGCCACCTGTGCGCCAGGGATGACGTCTGCCTCAATGGAGGCGTCTGCTCTGTGCTCAATGACCAGGCTGTGTGTGATTGTTCCCAAACTGGCTTCCGCGGGAAGGACTGCAGCGAAGGTAAGAACATGTTTTCACCTTTGCCCTGCCAGCCTCTCCCTCAATGACAGGGAAGGTCAGGAGATGGAGACTGCATGGCTTTTCCTCTGTATGAGTGAATCTCGCAGCTGTGCTTTCCCCTCATCCATCTCATACCTTGGACCTTCGGTTAAATATTCCAGCCCTTCTTCCTCCATCCCTTTGAACAATTATTGTCGCCATATGTTTTGCAACTTTTAAGACAAAGTTGAAGATGAGGTGGTGGGTGGTGGTGGGAAAGTCGCCATTTTGGGAACAGGAAGGTTGTGGGCAGTGAGCAATGTGGTGAGCAGAACTTGGTAGCATGGAAGGGAATGTGGAGAATTAGGTTTAGAAAAGGAAAGATGGGGAATGGGTAACTTGAAATTGTCCTTGATGGGGTTTCTCCCATTAGGAAACGGGCTTTCAAATTCATCCACAACTCCAGTCAGCTGAAGTACTTGATTTTAAACCTGTTTAGTCCCAATGAGATTAAATAACTCCAAAAGCAAGTATTTGGTCTTAACATATTTGTGGATTTGGCTGCTCCTAGTTTGATTATTGTATGAAAGCGTGGGAGGAGAGGTGATGGGATTTATTCATTGTATGAGGATAATGGAGAAATTGTGTTTGTTCTTCCTCTTTGGAGGTAGGTTTATTAATATCATCAGATTGCTTGAAGCCATATCAATGATTTATTTGTGCAGCTCCTTAATGGACAAGGAGTATGAATTGCAGTGGATTTATAATTTCATACCAGAATAAATGTCATTTTGCAATAATGGACTTAGCCAGTTCATATGTCAGTCATATAAAGGCTATATGCAGCTGTAGAATTATTTTGACTGGAATATTTCCAGAGGTCAGTATTCAGAACTAGAACTCAGAAGACGGTGAAAGCAAAAGGGACTTGCTTATATTCTTCCCCCTTTTTCTTTTTTTTAAAAAACAAACAAACCAAAACAAACCTGCAAACATGTTAATAACTGAATCCTCATTGTCAGCGCCCATCCCTTTTGGTAACATGGATTAATTAATTGTGGTTTCATCTGGTCCTTATTTATTTTAAAAAATAAACAAGAAATACATTTCTAATTTTTTGCAGATGTTTTTCTGAAATGGATAGGAAATATTTTTGTTGCATTTGCTGGATGTGGAGTGACAGTCAAAGCTGTTATAAATGATAGCATATGAGGAGATAGAATACATGTTTCTGTACACATATAAAAATTAAAGGAAACAATCTTCCTATGCAATGGAGAAATGATTCCAAACTGACAAAGGTGAAGGTGTTCATTGAGTGGCTATATGTCTATAATGACTGAGTAATTTGCCTTTTTCACTTTTAATCGAGTTTCACTGGCTGTAGAAAAGAGACAGAATTTGTGGATGTGCTTTCTATTATGTAAACTTCCTTCCTTTGCTGTCCAGTTCTTAGATTTTCAGTCATTTCACATCCTATTAATTTGTCAGCTTTTTATCTTTCATCTTCTCTGTTATTAGTGCTAAACATTCAAGCCTTTTTTATTACATATATTCACAAATGCTGTTGAAACTGTAATAGATCAAATAATATATATGCTATAAGATCATTGGCTCTTGAGGAAATGCCTTTGTATTGGTGTTATTTGCAAATACTTGGTTTTAATGCAGTATGTGGTCTTAAAGGAGTGCTTAGATGAGTTTAGATGTCCCTGTTTCAGTACACTGACCTAATTCACAATGGTAATTGATTGATAGATTGAGGTTGCAATCCTATGGCAATGACCTGGGAGCAAGTCCCATTAAAAGAATTGGAGATTGTTTTTGAGAAGACATGTAGAAGGCTGCATTTGAAGCCAGTTAATAGCAGAAATTACAAATGTTGAAATTGTCTGAAACACTATCCATGTTATGAAAACAAGTAAGTTTTTAAGAAGCATTGATGCAGAAGCACATTAAGAACCAAAAGAAAGGGATGGAAGAATGTCACAACTCCATATTAGAAAGATTAAACAATTGCACCTCCATTAAAATTAAACACTGATGTTGATGCTAGATGCATGTAAATCTCATAAACTATTTCAAAAAAAGTGCAATTAACACTTTCAAGTGGAGGAAGAATGGGTGTTTTTTTTTATCTAGCCAGCTATTAAGATATACAGACCTATTCCGTCTACATTTATTCATATCAGTGGGATTTATTCCCAGGTAAGTGTGTGGTGCAGCCTCAGAAGCTCATCACAAGTCTTTAATTGCGGCAGTGGCAAGGACTCTTTATCCCAGTTAGAACATCACAGTGTGTGCTGATTGCAGGGGAAAATACACTGCTTGCGATGTGCAATATTGCAGCTGATTAAAAAGAAATTCAGACAAAAGACAAGATTCCCAGCCAGTCACAGAGAGCTGCAACTCTCTGAGCCCTTGCATCCTATTTGTTAATGAAAACCATATCAAATAAGGTTGATTGCATAACAGCAATGGGTAGCTCTTTGTATTGATTAATCAAAGGTTTGAATTACTCTGTGATTAGGTTACATTCTTGTGACTAATTAGGGGAAGCAAAAATAAAATAGGAAGGGGACATGTGCAACCTGTTCCCCTCATTAGGTTTAAGACTCACAAGCAGCTCTTGCCTATAGCGGTTGTTTTTTCCTCGCCCTTAGTGGCTCTGAGTCTTTGTAGACTTAAAAACTGTCGGTGGGGTTTATTCAGTGGTCGAGAAAAAACACCGACTGAATATGGTGTTCTGTTTGCATAGTGGTGCATTTTGGATTATTGTATGATGGAGGAGTCGTTCACCACCACCATTATTTATAGAAGTGCCTAAAATATACTGGGCACTGTTGTACGTGCATAAAAGTTAATCAGAAGACTTTCTGGTCGTTAAACTTCACGGGGTTTTATTATACGCCTGTGTTTCTTGCATAGCCCTGCTTTATAAAGTGGAATAGCATAAGGGGAAGAGGATTTGTTAATGAGTTTTCTTTTCACGCCTTAGGTGCTGCTCATTACTGTGCAGATAACTGAGCAGTTTTTTTTTTTAAGCAAACATAGCCTGCTATAAATACTGAGTTTACGGTAGCAATATGGGGCGCTGCTACCTTCACGGACCCAACTATTTATATCAGATTCCATGGCTGTTCTTTAATATAGTATTGGTATTCCTATTAGTGATAATATACTTTTAATGGCACTTCCTGAATGTTCACATGCATTGTCTCGTACAAAAAGCATTGCAAGGTAGGTCAGTATTATTTATGTACTGAGACCAGATCAATTTATTTGTTTTAAAGCATGAGTTATAACAGGGTAGGAGAATGACAGGCTAGTCCTCCTCTTCATGTTTACTCAGAAGGATGCATCACTGAGATTAATGGAGCTTATTCGCAAATCAGCCTACATAGAATTGCAGTCTGAATGTACCCAAGGAACAGAACAGAAAAGCTGGCTAACATTAAAAAAAAGTTGTCACACAATATAGAATTTTAGATTATCGTCCCTATAAAAGCAAACCTTCATTCAATTTGCAAAATCAGTTTTTTTCTTGCCGCCTCTGCAAATGTACTCACTTTATATGTAATGTACTTGTATTAGTTGTTTGACAGAAAACATGATTTGGCAAAGTCATCCTGATATCTTGTTCCATGAAACAAGGTCAGATTAAACAAAAAGAATGGGAATAGAATGGGAAATGTAATAGACAATGGGCTTAGGAAGCATACATGCCTTACATTTAAATCATGTGACTTCCCCCAAAGAATCCTGGGAGCTGTAGTTTACCTCTCAGAGAAGTTCAGTGGTACCTTGGCTTAAGAACTTAATTCATACTAAAGGTCTGTTCTTAACCTGAAACTGTTCTTAACCTGAAGCACCACTTTAGCACCGCAATTTCTGTTCTCATCCTGAAGCAAAGTTCTTAACCCGAGGTACTATTTCTGGGTTAGCGGAGTCTGTAACCTGAAGCATCTGTAACCTGAAGTGTCTGTAACCCGAGGTACCACTGTACAAATCCCAGCGTCCCTAACAGAGTATAGTTTCTAGGATTATTTGTAGGAAGTCAGTTGTTTTAACTGTATGGTGTGCACACAGTCCTAGGTCTATTAGTGCACTACAAATGCAATGCCTCTATACATAATGAGATTTTAGTTTATCTGTCTTGGACTGTACTAGGAATGATATAGAACAAAAGTGCTGTGTGTGTGTGTGTGTGTGTGTGTGTGTATGGAGATATATATAAAGGTAAAGGTAAAGGTACCCCTGCCCGTACGGGCCAGTCTTGACAGACTCTAGGGTTGTGCGCCCATCTCACTTAAGAGGCCGGGGGCCAGCGCTGTCCGCAGACACTTCCGGGTCACATGGCCAGTGTGACAAGCTGCATCTGGCAAGCCAGCGCAGCACACGGAACGCCGTTTACCTTCCCGCTGGTAAGCGGTCCCTATTTATCTACTTGCACCTGGGGGTGCTTTCGAACTGCTAGGTTGGCAGGCGCTGGGACCGAGCAACGGGAGCGCACCCCGCTGCGGGGATTCGAACCGCCGACCTTTCGATCGGCAAGTCCTAGGTGCTGAGGCTTTAACCCACAGCGCCACCCGCGTCCCATATGGAGATATATATATATATATATATATATATATATATATATATATATGAATGATTTACAGTCCCTCGGGTCACAGGAATAACTTTCCGATCCCACGTCATGAGCTGGGGGGAAATGCAAAAACTTCTGAAGAATTGGCATATCATGCTGCCTAACCACATTTCTTATTCTAGTTTTAACTAATAGTTTAACAGCTTTTTCTTTTGACTGTGCTCAGGAATAACAAAGGGAACACATCCTCTTCTAGCAGATTAGAACATTTAATAATAATAATAATAATAATAATAATAATAATAATAATATATTTTAAATTTATATCCCACTCATCTTGCTGGGTTTCCCCAGCCACTCTGGGTGGCCTACAACATATATAAAAACACAACAAAGCATCAAAAAACAGTTTACAGTTATACCCAAATTA